CCTTTAAAGAGTATGCCCCTCCAGCATGGACCTTTTCGACCAGGTATTGTCCTTTCTAGTTTGGCTCTAGTTTCCCGACGTGCTTCAGCACATCGACTCTCTTCCACACCAAGTCACCCACTTGGAATCTTCGTGTTTTCACTTTTCTATCATGTGTTGCTCGCATCCTTTGTTTGTACGCCTCGACTCTGATTGTTGCCTTCTCTCGAAGCTCTTCGATTGTGTCGAGCGCTGCCATCATCAGATGTTCATTCTGTTATCGATCATACGTGCTCGATCTTTGGGACTGAACCTCGACCTCTATCGGCAACAAAACTTCCATGCCGTATACCATACTGAACGGTGTTTCCCCAGTGGTCGATCGGGGCGTTGTTCTGTATGCCCATAGCACTGAAGTAAGTTCATCCACCCACGCTCCCGATGCCTTCTCCAACCTTGTTTTCAGACCGTTCAATATAATTCTGTTGGTCACTTCGACCTGCCCGTTGGCCTGCGGGTGTGCGACTGAAGCGAAGTGTTGATCGATTTCCATGTCCTCGCACCATGCCCGGATCCTCTTGCCATTGAACTGGGTCCCATTGTCTGACACCAACACTTTTGGAACTCCGAACCTGCAACATATGTTATCATATAGAAAATGTATCACTTTCTCCTCCGTGATCTTTGCCAGGGGTTCAGCCTCCACCCACTTTGTGAAGTAATCGACCGCGACAATCAAGAACTTTCTCTGTCCAGTTCCTTGGGGCATGGGCCAAACCAGGTCGATCCCCCATTGGGCGAACGGGATGGGAGAACTCATCGCTGTCATTGCTTCAGCCGGTTGGTGAATAAGTGGGCCGTGTTTCTGGCATTGCAAACATTTCCGCACCATCTCTTTTGCATCTTCTTTCATCGTTGGCCAGAAATATCCTGCTCTTAGAGCCTTTGCTACCAGGGAACCTGCCTTACTGTGGTCGCTGCAACAACCCTCGTGAATCTCCTTCAACACATATCGCCCTTCTTCTCCGGTTACACATCGCAAGTGGGGGCCCGCGTGCGACCTCTTGTAGAGAATCCCTCCATGCTCAAAAAATCTCCTTATCACTTTAACGGCTCCTTCCTTCAATTCTTTTATTATTAGTGCCCTCCAATCCTCGACTTATTCTATCTCGACCACTTCCTTCTCGACCACACTCTTCTCCATGTGTAGCAAGGTCACACTTCTGCTCTTGAAGTCCACCAGACTTTGTGCCACTTTAGCTAACAGATCCGCTTGACCATTTTATCCTCGAGGTATCTGGGTTAATTCGAAAGAATCAAACTCTCCCTGCAGTTTCTTTATCTCCTCCACATACTTCATTATCCTTTCCCCCCAGACCTCAAACCCTTCCTGGAATTGACCCACCACCAATTGTGAATCCGAATGTACCTGTACTGCTCGAGCTCCGCCACTTAAGGCCAGTTTGAGTCCCTTAATGACTGCCTCGTATTTCGCTTCATTATTCGATATCTGGTAGGCCACCTTGATTGAGAACTCTAGGCTGTCACCTTTCGGCGACATAAGTACGATGCCTAGGCCACCTCCGGCCCTCGACACCGATCCATCTGCAAACACCTGCCACACCCCTTCAGACTCCTCGCTCTCCTTCGTCCCCTCTTGTATAAAATCGGCCAGTGCTTGAGCCTTAATCGCCCTCCTCGGCTCGTAGATAATTGTGTATTCACTCAGCTCGACTGCCCATTTGACTAACCGCCCCAACACGGAGGGTCGACCCAGTGTTTCTCCCAATGGCATATTCGTCCGGACCTTCACTCTATGTCCCAAGAAGTATGGTCTCAGCTTCCTTACGGTGACCACTGCTGGAACACGCCGACGAGGCGGTCCTACCCACGGATCGATATCGGATACCAAACATGTACATACATGATTTCGAATAAACCTAAGCATGCTCCTAACGGACGAACAGAGATATACCTTTCTTCAAGGCTTCGATTCGATCTGAGCGATCTTCTAGTCTGTGTCCCGACCACGTTTGGACGCCGGATGGACGACGATCCTCCAAACGGTTGAAAGGAGCGGATTGCCTTTTGTTCTTCTCTGAACCCCTCACATTTCCTTCTTCCTTTTCCCACGTTGGTGTGGTGGCTGAAGACGTGAACTGATCTCTTAGGGTTTCAGAACGTGGGTTTATCCCTCCTTTTATAGAGTCATTGGGCCAGACTAGGGATCTCTTAGAAGGTATAGGGCTTGGGCTCCCTACAGGCCCAAAATTCTTATGTTCAGCCCAGAACACAATTTGGCCTGTAAATATTAATTCATTCCACTAGAGAATTAATATTGCACTCCCGTCCTATCCCGAAATGAATCAGGGCTTCTATTAGACTCAATATAATTCCTCGTGTTTAAGATATCGCACGTCCATTAATTATTAAAGCTTCTGACTGCTTTAATTAATTAATATCTTTTATTCCTTAAGTAGTACCACTCAACCTTATTATCGTACGGATTAAATCCACCTACAGGGTTTATACGATAATCCTTATGAGTTCCTTAAGGGGATGTCATCAACCTGGATGTCCAGGACACGGTGCCCTAATGCCAATAAATAGATATTATACAGATAATGTTGTTACCCAAGATACAGAGGATATTGAACCAATACTTGGCTCTCACCCATTGTAAATCAAAGTAACA